GAGAACGAGTGTGCCGCCTTTGTTGAAGCCCACAGCACGGATCATGACGGACGACGTCTGAAAGGGGAGAGGAAGCCAATGGGACAGGACTCATAGCGACAGGACTCATAGCGATAGATTTTATGAACCTATCAAACCTATCAAAACGATTGAGATATACTTAATAGCCTGTTGACTAGACAAGGACAACAAATAATATGGCCATTATACTCAATGCGCTTCGCACTCAAATGCTTGAAAATCAGTTACAGGAAAAAGAGGCGAGGATAATGAGAGCAGCTTCAGAGCGCCTGAGTGCTCAAAGCGTGGCACCCGAAAGCAGCTCAGGTAATGGAGCTGAACTCGCCGATCATGGAGCAAAACGGAGCGAAACTCGGAGAACAGAATGAATATGATCAAACAAAATTTTCACTGGTGTGGGAGGGCTAGGAGAGATTCTTGGGAGCTCTGTAGGTCATTCCTGGTAATGGAGCAAAACTCGCGCCGATAGTGGAGCAAAATGGAGCAAAACTCGGAGAACAAAATGAGCATGATCATCAAATTCCAGAATTTTCACTGGGGTGGGGGGGGGGGGCTGGGAGAGATTCTTGGGAGCTCTGTAAGTCTCTCCTGGTAATGGAGCAAAACTCGCCGATAGTGGAGCAAAATGGAGCAAAACTCGGAGAACAAAATGAGCATGATCAAATTCCAGAATTTTCACTGGAGGGGCTGGGAGCTCTGTAGGTCTCTTCTGGTAATGGAGCAAAACTCGCCGATAGTGGAGCAAAATGGAGCAAAACTCGGAGAACAAAATGAGCATGATCAAATTTCTAAATTTTCACTGGGGGGGGGGCTAGCGTTAATTCAGCCCCCCCCCACCTTATAGGCCTCATAGTCTCTCCACTGTAATGGAGCAGACATCGAAATTAGTGGAGCAAAATGAAGCAAAATGAGAGCAAAATTATGGGATAATTTTCATCCAGAAATTTTCTATGGGGGGGGCTAACTTAACTGACCCCTTGTTAGGGCTCCCCTAAAATAGTTTGTGGAAACGACCATAACTGACAGCTTGTTCATTCTCAGGCAAAGCCCGTATTTTTATTGGGATTTGTGGCTCTATCATAATGCCTGGAAAATATGCGAGTGAACGTACCAAATGTATTATTCAAATGGCAAAACAGTTTATACCGAGTGAGGAAGACCTAAGCTCTATTCCAACAGACATGAGAACTGTTCGAGAACCAGTAATTTCCAGTTACCCACCTATTTTTCGATAAGTTGAGCGTTTATCCTACTTGAAAAATGGATTGATCGACTGGAAATTACTGTTGGAATGGTTCTCATGTCTGTTGGAACAGAGCTCAAGAAGACTCCGATTCAAAACCATTTAGTTCGGTTCAAACTCCCTGAATGATCCAGAATATATTACAAGTGATGATTTTGATTATTTTGATGATTTTGCCAGCTCTAGTGAGCCAGAAAATGTAAAATAAAGGGGCACCATTTTATTTTTCTTCTGTTTCCCACAGGGCCACTAAAATTGAAAGCCTGACTTAAGCCTAGTACTCATAACTGCGAAATTCGCATTTTTTTGACATTGCGTTGACAATTTGACGTTTTATGTGTGTATCAAACGTCAAATTGTCGAAGCAATGTCAAAAAAATGCGAATTTCGCAGTTATGAGTACTAGGCTTTAGGGAGGATTTTCATGCATCCGTTTTTCCGTCGAAATATGTCCGGAAAGTCTTCTATTTTGACATATTTATATACGATTATGTCAGAATAGAATGTTAAACGGACATATTTCGTCGGAAAAACGGATGCATGAAAATCCTCCCTAAAGCCTAGTACTCATAACTGCGAAATTCGTATTTTTTGACATTGCTTCGACAATTTGATGTTTGATACACGCATAAAACGTCAGATTGTCAACGCAATGTCAGAAAAATGCGAATTTCGCAGTTATGAGTACTAGGCTTAAGGCCGGAGTTTCATGCATCCGTTTTTCCGTCGAAATATGTCCGAAAAGTCTTCTATTTTGACATATTTATATACGATTATGTCAGAATAGAATGTTTTTCGGACATATTTCGTCGGAAAAACGGATGCATGAAAATCCACCCTTAGGCTTACTTTTCATGCATCCGTTTTCCGACGAAATATGTCCGAAAAATCTTCCATTTTGACATATTTTTATACGATTATGTCAGAATAGAATGTTTTTCGGACATCTTTCGTCGAAAAACGGATGCGTGAAAATCCAGCTTTATGAAGAAGTTCCGTATAGGCAGGGTTGCCAGACGTCCCTACTTAGGAGGGACAGTCCCGCATTTTGTTAATCGGTCTCGCCTTTTTTTAATTAATTTCAGGTCCCACTTTTCACGTGAATTGTCCCAGTTTTCCCGCTTTTTCCACCCAATCTTTACATTAAGTGCAAAAAACACGCTCATTTTACAACTTGTTACATAAATAGCTATTTCTACATTTAAAATCGACGCAAAAATCAAATAACGAGCCCGAATCGCAAGCGCATTTCATCAAGGTCTACGGGTGACGTCACCACGATTAGCTTCTGACTTGGTGACGTCACTCGCAGACCTTGTGGATTTGAGAACCGGTGAACGTACGTCTTCTCAGGATGAGCAATCCTATTAGTTTACGATTCTTGGGTTATTAATAATAAATGTTGTATGTTCAGATATAAAAATGTCAAAAATTCCAACAAAATCCAAATCTTTCATTGCAGAAACAAACTAGCATCTGCAAAAATCTTTTTTGTGGCCATTGAAAAATAATTGAAAAATAAATAACTTTCGTCAAAAATCATTTTTTCTATGACCGTTAGAAAATGAAAATAAACAACTTTCGGCATATTTCACGTTAGCCGAAAACGTCACTTTCGCTCAAGGGGTCCATAGGGGGGTGCTCAATGGGTGCACTTCCCTCCCCACCCCTTATGCTTTTGGGCGTGGCACCCGAAAAAAAAAATTCTCTCTGGATAGGAACCAGGGGTGCGTCCCGCTTTTTCATTTCATAGATCTGGCAACCCTGCGTATGGGCCACAGTAGGCAGGCTGTTCTATATAATTCAACATACTAGCTGCTTACGATCAAGCACTTTTCTTACCTAACTTAAAGAATCTAACTTAGTTGCGCGTACGATCTATCACAACTAAGTTAGAATCTGCCTTCCCCCCTTTCCCCTGCTAAGACACCCGGATTTTAACTGAGATAACTTAGCTGACCTAAGTTGGCGCGAAGTACGCATTTTTTGAATTTTGACGTTTAATAATTTCTAAATTGAGGTTGTTTCTTTATTTTTATTTTGTTGAAAGTTGGTCGTTGGAACAGGAACTTTGAAAAGGTGTTTTGTTTAATGAAATGTATTATTCATTATTGCCATTGCACGCGTCATGACACTTCTAGGTAGATAATTGTTCATTTTTAATGTGAAATAAACTGTGCTGTAGTACAAAAACAATTCAGTTTCAATTTCAATTGAAAATAAATTAATAAAAACAACAAACTGAACCTGAAACTCTCGTCGTAACTAGAACCCGAACTAGAAATACGTGACGTGAGTCGTAACTTGATAGGCAGCTGATCAGCCTATATGAATTGCGCCTACGATCAAACAACTTAGCTCAGCTAAGAAACTAACTTTAACTTGGGTGAGAAAAGTCCTTGATCGTAAGCAGCTACTATCGGGCATCTGGCCTAGAGATCTTTGAAAATCTGGCAGCGACAGTCGGTCATTGGTGACCGCCGTGGCCTACCAGGAACTACACCGATCGGTCACCACTGACCGCCATGGCGCTTAACGTGTTAAAGTTCTTCCTTTGTCTGACTATCACTTCTTCAATGTTATAATGTTCGATTTGTATTGTCTACATTTGTTCTGCTACAATATAAACTGGCTACACTGCAATCCACTAGTTGCGCATGCATGTCATCTTTCATTACATTCCAACTTGTATTTATCACAATTAAGCTATCTTTTTCTATTTATGCGAGACAGGTCAATTGCAGATTTTTTCTGTAAATTGCTCGTTTCTGCAAATAGCGCACATATGTAAGTCGGCCATATTCGCAGAACTGCAAATTTGCAGATGCAAATATACTGTAATTTGGCCCTTAGTTATCAAGGATGATACACACTACTACTACAGGATTGCGTATCCTAATAAGGTTTGTGTGTAAATTCCCCCCTACCCCCTCTGCCAAACAACCAGTTGTGACGTAAGCAGCATGACGTTTCTCAACTTGACGTAGGCTGTCTAAACAGTTGACGACTTAATTATGACGTCGGCAATGGTTGGAAACAGTTGAAAACCAATGTTGCGGCGATTACAAAAAACGATGCCGATAAGCACTCCTTAGAGTGTGTATTCTCCTTTCTTAGTTATGACGTCGGAAATGTTGACACACCAATATGGCGGCGATTACCAAAAACGAGACCGATAAGCAATCCTGTCTATTATCCTTGAGTGTCGACTCGAGTTGTATTCCTTTCAAGAGCTTGAAACACTCGAGCTACTCGCTTCTGGGCCGAGATTCTAAAATCACGATTCGACACACGACTCGACAACGATACCGGCCTTGTCGTGTCGAAAGGTATAATTCCAATGAGATTTCTAACCTAGAATCGTCGGAAAAATCGTCTCGTTGTCGAATCGTATGTCGAATCGTGATTTTAGAATCCCCGACCTGGGTTTAGTCGCCCCCCGATTTGCAGGGAACAGATGCGTGGTGCAACTAACACTTTTCGAAAGGAATAAGCGCGTGAAGCCCCGGAGCTGTTCCGGAGCTCCTCTTAGGTATGAAAGGAATACAACTTCGGTGACGCTCGGGCACAACTTACGACTGTCAAATTATGACCTTGCTCCAAACCGCTCCAAACATGAACGAAACAATTGTTGCATTCTGGCAACGTCGCAATGCCGTATAATTGTCATGTCATTGAAGAAATCAAAATCAGCTGACGTTTATTTTAATTTTGTTTTTGTTATTTTTTTTTCTTTATAAATTAAATAAAATATTTAAAAAATGTTACAATGTTTAGCGGTATAAAAGATAAATTATTAAGCGTAAAAAAGAATGTGAGTCTTTTCGTAACAGATGACACAAGTTCAAAATCGAATGCAAAGGCTCGATTCGATCCTCGTACTGGTGCTGAGATTTTGCAACATTTCCAAAATCACTGGGAAGAGATCCATAAATTGAACGAAGAAAATGCTAAATCTGCCGATAATGTAGCCACTGCAATAGAAACGGTATCGAAAAATGTCGAAGCAAGTAAAACGAACATTGATTTAATTAGTCACATTCTAACTAGTTCAAATTTCACGACTAACGTAGCTCAGTGCCTGTCGCAAGTTAAGGAACTTTATGCTACTTGTGAAAGTGTGGAGCAAAAGTTGGTAGACTTGGAAAATTTAATTGAAGATGTTCAATTTGAGAGGACGGTTAAACAGCATAGACAAAATTTAGAAAATTATAAAATCAGAAAACAAGGTAAGGATTTTTATAGAACAAGGCATATTCTATTCCTTTTACTTTGCAAAGAAAAAAAATTGGATTAGTCCTTGGTTCATTCTTATTTTGTCAGTACTCGCAACTCTGAGGGCTAGAATTATTTGGTGGATCACATACATTATTGTTTCTAAAAAAAAAGTATAATATTGTTGAATGTCTTATCTTTAGAAAAATTGGACAAACTGAAACAATCCTTAGAAGAAGAATATAAGAAAAAACTATCAGAACATGAAAGTAATAAAAAGCTAATTCTAGAAGAACGTCAAAAAGTCTTTCAAGAAGCTTTTAAAAGTGATTTGGAAGTGTACAAAAATCTTGGTACAATACCTAGTAAGTTTATATAAGCCTGTTTAGCAATTTTATAAGTACCAGAGTATTCACTATATTTTGACCCCCCTCTAGATACCTAACTGTTTTTTCTTCCAAGTCTACAAAAAAACACTTCAATATAGTTGTTTGGTCTTCGGTTTGGTCTAAAAAAAATGTTTCAAAGGATAACCCAGGGCTAGATTTTGCTAAGTTTTTGATTGAAGATTGACTTTCACCCTGTATAAATAATAATCTCAAATTTGAATTATTTTCTTGAGACAAAACAACTTTTGTATTAGGTAAGGTTTTTTTTTTGAAAACCTAAGATTTAGAGGGGAGGACAAAGTATAGTAATGGAGTACCTGAGTAAGTACCTACCTATCTCCCATATTTGAACTTTTTACAGAAGTCGACTTGCCAAAGAACCAAAACGGTGCTATTTTAGAAGAAATTCAATTGGATTTCGATCAGAATGAATTGGAGCAATTTTTCAATGAAGAAAATAATGATACATAAAATATTTATACATGTTTATTTTTAGACAAAGTATTTTTTTTTAAATTTAGGTGCAATAATGCACAGATAACATCATCTGTGCTACTTTATTCATATTAAGTTTGTTGGAAAATGTTGATTTATTTTTATATGTATCTCGATATGTATTATAAAGTGTGATTTGAAAAATTTAAGACTCAATTTGTTTTTTTTTTTTTTCATGAAAATCTGCATTGATTTTGAAACGTGAAAACATTTGACTAGCAAACAATACATTGATTTTCAATGTAGAAAGATGATCCATTTGTGTGAAAAAAAAAATTTGCACCATATCACAACAAATACAATACCTACAGGTTAAGTAACTATTTCATAGGGACAGTATTGCTATCTCAGGAACGGTTAATGTTATGAGGGCGTTTAAATTAGAAAAAAGTTGCCATTTTTGAAGAATATTAAAAATATATTTTTGTTGTTGCCAAATTTCTATTAGTTTCGCAAATACAGAGTGATTTTTGAAAATTACCGAAAATAATTTTATCAAATATTTCAAAATTTATTGATTTTAGAGACATAGTTTCGAGCATAGTTTAAATTCAAAAGTATTATATTCTTAATATTCTTCAGAAATGACAACTATTTTCTAATTTAAACGCCCTTGTAACTTTAAACGTTCCCGATAACATTATCGGATACCTACGATAGCTTTTGGAAATCTATGTGTTGAGAAAATATCTTGTGAAAGTTCAATCGTTTTTGTCGATAATGGTGGAGCATCCCTGAGTTTTTCAATGTCTGTTCATTGTGACTATTTACGGATCTATGACTATTAGAAGAAAATTGGAACGGACCATATAATGTACACGATATCAGTTTTGTTCGGGTAACACACGGTGGTGTTTTGGCTGGAGAGGATCGAATTAGGCCACATACATCACATGATTCAACCAATGTTTCGATAACTTTATGAACAAAGTCTAGTCTAAGCGGTACCATAAGCGGAGGAAATTGAGTGACGATTAAACATTCGTTTGAACACGTTAAGTTTAAATCGTTATAAGGAAATGAAGTAGAAGGCAAGGAGGTCCAGAGGTGGACAGTGACAGTAGTACGCCACCAAAAACAAGCCATATATTTGGAGGTTTTTGGGATAGCGAACTTTACCGAGGGATGGGATGCGTGTGAGGTTCTTTTTGTTTCTTCATAAGTTCTTCTAGCTGGAATGAAGTTGGCCAGATCATCAGAACATCTCCCATGATAAGAGCGATAGAATAACGATAAGTCGGCCACCTAAGCGTCTATGTTCAGAAGATTGCAATGAATCGATGAGAAATGAATTATCGATCATTTTTATTGCTCTTCTTAGTACTGCATCTAATAGAGCTAACTTGGGAGCATTGCTCTAGATGTGGAACAGTATGAGTATTCCATATGATCTAAGTTGAGTCTTACAAGAAGCAGAAGTTGTTCAGAAGTAAAAAAGTTCGAACACCGAACAAAAACCTAATTTTTGAAGCGATCGAAGATTCACGCTCATACCAAGACAAGTACTTGTGTTGGTCGATGCGCTTACCCCAAAAAGAGATATTGAGGGTTTGATGGAAAGGTTTTGTCCCGACATCCTTAAAACTGGATTATTATCAGCAAAAGATTTCTTATTCGACAATATCTACTGTTGTTTGGGTTTTGAAAGCATTGAATTCGACTAGGTATATGCAGTGACCTGCCTTCCAGAAGCTCCCCAGCCAATGGTGGAATTCGTTCGGAAGATCATATGATGGAAGTTTGCTGAAATCTTTGTGCCACACCTGAACATACCTTGGAGATGTCCAAGTTTTCTTGACATTTTTCGGGATGGGCTGCACTCTGGTATCAAATCAAATCAAATAACGCATTATTGTCTATAGAATAAACTCATTGACAAAGCCTAAAAAATATAAATTTAACCCTAAATTCTAAATCTTAGCAATACTCAATACAAAATAAATTATAGACACATAACTTAGGGCTAGTCAATTGTTCAAATATACTACAAATACTATTCCGATTAGATAAAATTAAGTTAAAATACAAAATTTACACAAAAACAGGAATATTTTACAAAACTCTTAAGATCATGGAGACCCTTCCACTCATCCGGCAAATGATTGTATATCTTTAAACTTTCATACATTAAAGAGTTTTTGGTAAAACCACTCCTGGGTATTGGTAATGGTATATTATGTCCATAACGTGTGTTGTGGATGTTGGGATTTATAAAATTTCTATACTTTTTGTGCACCAAGGAGACAGTCTCCAAAATAAAAATACATGGCAATGTAAGGATTTCTTCCTGAACAAACAATGGCCTACAATGGTCCCTAGCCTTCAATTTGCATAAATACCTAAGCGCCCTCTTCTGTAGGACAAACACAGAATTAAAAAGTTGTTTGTTACAAAAACCCCAAAATGCAATCCCATATCTCAAATGAGACTCGACAAGTGAATAATATACCGACTTAGCCATGAGTGACCCCAGCCGCCCCGTGACAATACGAACAGCAAAGCATCCAGATGCCAATTTCTTGTTCAGACACAATATATGCTCTTTAAATTTTAAATCCGAGTCTATGTGCAAGCCCAGAAACCTGCAGCTAGCCTTATTTGCCACGAAATAATTGTCCACATTCAGATCATCCAACACAAACCTAAAAGAAATAGCACTAGTTTTATTTAAATTGAAACAAAGTAGATTTGCGTCGCACCACTCCTTCACACGTCGTAGGTCTTCAATTATGATATCTTTTAATAAACTAGCATCCTCATCAAGCCACAAGATGGTCGTATCATCTGCAAAAATGGTAAAACGGCCTCGAATATCTAGTCTAGCCAAGTCATTCAAGTATAATAGAAAAAGAACTGGGCCAAGAACCGAACCCTGGGGAACACCGTGTCTCATTGACAGTTCATCTGAGCTACCATCCTCAGAACAAACCACCTGTTTCCTACCTGACAAATAAGACGAAAACCAGTCATACGACACTCCCCTGAAACCATACTGATGCATTTTCTCCAGCAGTATTCTGTGATTTACGCAATCAAATGCTTTCGAAAAATCACAGAAAACCGCTGCAGCCATACTTCCTCCATTCAGACCGACGTACACACTCTCCAGAAGCCTGAACACCGCATCGCTAGTACCCTTAGAGGCTTGAAATCCAAACTGACAACTAGTCAGGATATTGTGACTAGACATGAAGGCTACCATTCTTTTCTTTACAAGCTTTTCAATGATTTTTGAAAGCGTAGGTAACATTGAGATTGGACGAAAATCAGCAGGGTTTTTCGGATCACCACCCTTAAACAGCGGAACAACAACAGCGGTCTTGAGACTAGAAGGAAAACAACCATCGTCAAAAGATTGATTTATTAACATTACCATAATCTCCAAAGCCTGTCTGAGCAAAGCCGCAAACACTCTGAGTGTAAGGTCATCTATGCCAGAGGAATTTTTACTTTTTATCTCTCCAAGGATACCACATATTTCATCAATATCAGTATGTATCAAATAAAAACTGTTCGGTACAGAAACCTCCTGCAGGTACAACACTGGATCAATTTGTGAATTTAAATTTGCTGTTAGTCCATCAGCAACGGAACAATAAAAATCGTTTAATGTGTTAGCATCAACATCAACTTTAGTCTTTGCTGAGCTTGATTTTCCCCGCAAACAGTTTACTATTTTCCAATTCTCTTTAGTTTTATTTTGCGCCCTATCAATCCTATCCCTGTAATACCACTTCTTGGCTGTCTTAATAGTACTCCTATAAATATTTTTGTACCTATTAAAATAGGCCAAGAAAGCTTGGTTTAAAGTGAATTTTCTTATCCTATGCAGACATCTTAAATTTGCTGAGGAGTTTCTTATTCCCGAGGTAATCCAGGGCTTTTTGTTTTTCTGCTTTAATTTACGGACAGGAAAATTTGCATTAAAAATTTCAACAACTATACTATTAAATTTATCTAATGAGTTATCCAATCTCAATAATCCCTGCCAATTTATTTTCGCAGCCTGTTCCCTGAAATGTCCAAAGTTTTTAGTACTGTAAATTCTTCCATATCTAAAGGTTTTTGATTTTTTTTCCTGGTGTACATAAATAGATGAAATTATAGCCTCATGGTCAGAGAGACCCGAGGAAATCACAATAGTTTCAGCCCCAAATATGTCCGAAAAATTTGAACAAAGATAATCAATAGTGGTACTGGAATATTTTGAGATACGGGTGGGCTGCTTAATGAGCATCTGCAAATTAAAAGAAATCAGCAAGTCCTTCAGATTCTGAGTGCACATTGACTCAGAATCCTCGTAATTAATATTCAAGTCACCGGCCACTAGGATTTTAGCATTTACTGGTAAGTCCGATAAAATAATTTCCAGTCTGTCCATAAACTCTTTAATGGTACTTTCCAAATAGACGGGATAACACCTCGATTGTAAAAGAGTGAAAACAGTTTGCAAAGAACTGAAGCCAATTCTTGAGCGAAATTTGTTAGGAAAGTTGGTGGAATGCTGTCGGGACCACAAGATTTTCCATTGTCAAGTCGCACAAGAATCCTAATAGTTTTAGATCTAAATATAACGTTTTCTATATAAGAACCAATGTATGGCAGTACCTGTCGCGCTCTGCTATTGAGAAATCTGCTTTTTTCTTTGATGATACTACCATTGCATTGTCTTTAGCTAAAGGTGGAAAGGAAGAAGCGAAAAAAGAAGATGTACATTTTTTTCCTTGTTACAAATTGATTGAAATTTGTTACTTTAAGACAAGATAACCTAGGGTCGTGGAATTCAAAAAAAAATTAAGATAACGTGTAGTCCCTTTATTCGCAAATGAAACCACTCAAAATCCAACAAACAATAATTTTATTTCGTTTACAATGTTGTGTAGTAACCAGAGATAAATAGTATACAGTGCGGTCGTAAAGTAAGGAATAAATTCAATAATTATTCTTCTAAGGAATTTTTTTTAAAAATCCTCGAACATGTCAATTTTATTTTTTGTCGAGCATTTTTTAAAAAATAAAATTATTATACAGGGTGGTCGCAGAAAAGCTGGACAGGTGGTAACTTAATTTTTTTCAATAGACATCCCTAATTTTTTTTACATTTTCGGATTCTGATAAAATTCTAGGTATTTTTCATGAAACATGTCCT